CTCACGCATTGACCGTGAGACTCACGCAAATGACCCTTTTCACACAGAAAAATCGCGGACAAAGAGGACGACAAGGTTACTTTTGATATGGAACAAATCCACATCTGTCAGATTCTGTCAATATTTTTACGAGATTCACACAATAAATAACGTTTTGGCTCTTTGAAATGTGACCGATCGCTGTAGCGCGTCAGTTCAAACGGCACATGATACAGCAGCCTACAAATCCAAATCCACTGCTTCTTAGCTACGCAGCGTTGAGTGAACCTATGAAAGAGAACATCTCTGGTTACTGGTGTAACCTATGTTCTCTCAATAGGGAACGAGACGCTGCCAAGCTCCTTGCGCTGCCGACCAGCTTCCTTTTTCGGCAAAGAAATCTGAGGAGCAGATGGCGCGCGCGCGCCAACATAATATGACGACGTAAGTGCGTCGAGGCGGCGCCCGCGACATCAGCCAATGTATTGGCTTGATTCTATATGGATTCAGACTATCGGCACACCCAGAGGGCGTTCTGACGCGTAATTTTACACGTGAAATGCAGCCAAACCTTGCGAGCAAGAGCGCGCATGCGAGACAGAAGAGACTGTGCGTGTGTGTGTGCGCGTGTGCCGAAATCAGGCACCGAAATTGTCGTTCTTATTCGGTCTAGTTACTACCGTTTACGTCGGAACCGGTTCCCTATTGGCACCGAGTTTCGGTACCCAACCCTAATGGCCCATGACACACCCGCCGGTTTGTTTGTTTGTTTGTCAGCCACCGGTCTAGCATCACGCCGATCTGACAGACACGTGTGTCACAGTCTATGACGTAAATTCTTCGTTGACAGAAATGTTAAAATTAAATATTTATTGTACACATTTTTACAACGTTGAAAAACTTTAAGAATATTTGTCATGTTTTTTTTTTTTATTGTCTGTAAGGGCAGCTACTACTATGCACTACGCACTCTTGAGTCCATGACAAATTTCCCCTAGGGGACAATAAAGTATATTCTATTCTATTCTATTCTGTGAGAGCCCACTGCTACCGCTCAATGAAGAAGCTTAAGCCACCACACCCGCTGAAAGTAGGACTAGATTATATGACACGTTCAAAAGTTCTGTTGAACTTGTTTAAGGTTCCGTTCATCAAAAGTTTTACTTGTTTAATGTTACCACATTTCAGCTTTGATAACCATTTCTAAGAGAGCACCTTTGTGGTTTTCACGAAAGCTGAACAGTGGTAGCCTAATACAGAACAGGGTAGCTGAGTGGGAGTTGCCATGCTTTATTGTTGGGTCTGTTAAACAAATTGGAGTTCAATTTAAAATGTAAACAATAATGAGATTACTACTTTTGCCTGACTTAATGACTGCAAAGACAATCAAATATTCCACTCATGTAATTCAATGTCTTTGGGAAAAGTAAAAAAAACTAACTAAAGAATTGCATGTTGCAGACACTGTGCATTGCGGAACACAGCAGTGGTGGCTAGAAGAGCTGTCTTCCCGCCTTTGAAAGGACAATTTCGTACGTTTACATGTCATCGCGTTATCAGTCAAGACGAAGTACAAGTAAAAAACATTAACATAAACAACACAAGAACGATGAAACTGAACAGTTTTGGGTGTTTTGACGACAAGCATTCAATGGTAGCATAGGTAGCACTTCACTCTACAATAACCGGATGTTTACCACCATCCTGAGTTTAACCGGAAATACGTCATGCTCGCCAGTGCATATTGGCTATCCTGTGTTCAAAGATACATAAAAAAAAAGACAATGGACACGTTCCTGGATTGCTCGAAGAGGACAGTATAGGCTGTCAATCCTCCAAAGAGCACTTGTATGGCGTTATTATCCTATCAAATGTCGAGAGCGCATTATTGTAGCGCGAAAGTACATTAATATTATGCGCGAGCGTGAATCTCTCTGCTCGCGCGCGGAATATGATGTGCCGAGCGTGAATCCCTCTGCTCGCGCGCGGAATATGATGTGCCGAGCGTGAATCTCTCTGCTCGCGCGCGGAATATGATATGCCGAGCGCGAATCTCTCTGCTCGCGCGCGGGAACTGGGCGCGCGCTCTCAGATACACTTCTCTTGTAAGAATTCTCTCTCTGGGCTGAGTGGGCTCGCTGCCTCGCTCAGAGAATATGCCTGCACTTAAAACGTGTTCAGTGCAATCGCGAATTATGAATTTTCATAACGTTCCCATTAAGTTATAAAAACGTTATTTCTGAATGTTCTAGGGAATTTCAAAAAGTCCAGTTTTTTAGACGTTGTATTAACGTTATTTCTTGGTTATAAGAAAGTTCAATTCTCCCGTTATGTAAACGTTGTATTAATGTTATTTCCTGGTTATAATAACGTTAGAACGTTCAATTCTCCCTTTATATAAACGTTGTATTAACGTTCTTGTTTGGTTATAAGAACATTATTCAAACGTTCAATTCTCCCATTATATAAACCTTCTCTTAATGTTTTTCTAAGATAATTAAAAACGTTTCATTCAATAAAAAAAACATTAAGAAATGTTTTAATAATTATTAAAACCTTTCTTAATGTTTTTTATATAACAAGGTAGCCTATATAATAGGCCTAGCCTATATGAAGAACCTAAAATAAAATAAAAAGACCCATGAATCATGTCTATAATATGTGTAATGTAGTCCACTGAAGTCGAGTTGAATTGAACCGAAGTAGGCCTATAGTTTATTCCAGTAAACCGATTTGGGTTGAAGTGACCATATGAAATTAACATGAACATACACTTGGACTAAACATAGAATCACCAACAATGGTACAGGGAACAAAGCTAGACAAGAGACAATGGGAACACAAGGACAAGGATTATGACCAAAAACAACCAATGACATCCACAAGTTAAAGTTAATTTAATTTATATAGCTCATTTTTACAACAATTTCCAAGTTTATGTTCATGTTAATTTCATATGGTCACTTCAACCCAAATCGGTTTATTGGAATAAACTATAGGCCTACTTGGGTTCAATTCAACTCGACTTCAGTGGACTACATTACACATATTATAGACATGATTCATGGGTCTTTTTTATTTATTTTTGTCTTAATTTTAAAATCTGAAAGTTCTTGTTTTAGGTTCTTCATATAGGCCTATTATATAGGCTACCTTGTTATGAATGAAACGTTTTTCATTATCTTAGAAAAACATTAAGAGAACGTTTATATAATGGGAGAATTGAACGTTTGAATAACTTCTTATAACCAAGCAAGAACGTTAATACAACGTTTATATAAAGGGAGAATTGAACGTTCTAACGTTATTATAACCAGGAAATAACATTAATACAACGTTTACATAACGGGAGAATTGAACGGTCTTATAACCAAGAAATAACGTTAATACAACGTCTAAAAAACTGGACTTTATGAAATTCCCTAGAACATTCAGAAATAACGTTTTTATAACTTAATGGGAACGTTATGAAAACGTTCTAATAACCTAAAATTGTTAGCTGGGGAAGAGGAGCAATTTGCGATTGCACTGAACACGTTTTAAGTGCAGGCATATTCTCTGAGCGAGGCAGCGAGCCCACTCAGCCCAGAGAGAGAATCCTTACAAGAGAAGTGTATCTGAGAGCGCGTGCCCAGTTCCCGCGCGCGAGCAGAGAGATTCGCGCTGGGCATAGAATATTCCGCGCGCGAGCAGAGAGATTCACGCTCGGCACATCATATTCCGCGCGCGAGCAGAGGGATTCACGCTCGGCACATCATATTCCGCGCGCGAGCAGAGAGATTCACGCTCGGCACATCATATTCCGCGCGCGAGCAGAGAGATTCACGCTCGCGCATAATATTAATGTACTTTCGCGCTACAATAATGCGCTCTCGACATTGGACAGGATAATAACGCCATACACTTGAGGTAAAATATTGTTTTCTTATATATTTTTACTTTTAGCCAGTAGTACAAGTAATAATGTTGCTAGCTTGCCACAACAATAACATATTACAAAAACAGACTGTTAAAATTTTTAATTGTTCACCAATGTAATTAAATACTTCTAATGTTCAGAAGTAAAAAAATTTCGTTATGCAGTCACATGGGGTAATTTAGCCTTTAACAAAAAATATCAGTTCAATGGTTTAATGCCTTTGATTGATTCATAACACCATCATCTATAGGCTTAATCTCAATTTTAAAAATTGCAATAACATTATACGCAAAAATATTATTATTGAGAGTGAAAAAAAAACCCTCTTTCCTTTAATGTCTTTCCTTTAAAGTCACCAATTGTACACAAATAAATATTTAAAGACATTAAGGGAAGGAGTTTTTTTTTCACTCTCACTAATAATATTTTGCGTTGTAAACTATACTAGTATACAAAATGTAAACTATGCTATCGACCAACTCTAATCTAAGCTATTAAATTATTACAAACACTAACATCATCGTAAAGCTGCTTTGAAATTATATGTATTGTGAAAAGCATATACATTTTAATTGGGGGTGATTTATTTTTCACCTTTGTAAACCAAACAACCACACCATGTATTTTTTCCTATTTACACTGTAGGACGGTGACAAGAAGGGTTTTCGTGATCTGCTTAGGATGGATGTGGAGGATTTCAGCTACTTGCTTGGCAAAGTCACACCATTTATCCAAAGAAGGGACACAAAACTCAAGAATGCAAGAATGAGGCTGTCACTTACGCTGCGATTCCTTGCTTTTCTTTCCAACATTGCACTGGAGCCTGAGAAAGTGACAACAGTCCATTTAAAAAAATCATATGACCTTGGTTTCACAGACAAAATGTAAGCTAGTCCCAGACTAAAATGCGTTTGAGCTGTTTAAACTGAAAGCAATAGCCTATGCACTTAACATATGACTTAAAATATGTCAGTGACATTGTTTTGTCTCAAGATGCACACCAGTAATGTTTTTAAGGCAAGTTTATAAAAGCTACTCAAATGCCCTAATTAATTTAATGCCTAATCTTTGCTTAATTAGCCATTTCTGTAAAACCAGGCCATGGTGTATTATACACATGCTCCTTTCCACAGGAGAGACGTTTAGATCTCTGAGCTTCCAGTACCGGATCAGCCGTAGTACCATCAGTGAGATAGTAATGGAGACTTGTCAAGCCTTGTATGGAGTCTTAAAGGATGATCATTTAAAGGTAAGTCATTTGATGTAAATAAAAGACAGATGTACATTTCACAACAGTGGGTGGACACACAAAGAGAAGCCTTTACTGGAGAAGTCCCAAAACCAAGTGTTTTACCCAGAGAGTCAAAACCAGAGTAGATCATGGATAATTTTCTAAATTATAATTTGTGGACTTAAAAAAAAAAAAAAAAAAAAAAAATTTTCTAAAGTATATTATAACCTCTGTAAAAAGGAGAGAACATTACATGTATTAATTATTAGTGCTCTCAAACGATTAAAATACTTAATCGCGATTAATCGCATGAATGTCATAGTTAACTCGCGATTAATCGCAATTAATCGCACATTTTTATCTATTCTAAATGTCTCTTGATTTCTTTTTGTCCCATTCTTGTTTCTCATTTTAATGCTCTTATCAACATGGAAAAGTGGATCGGCTTGCTTTGAGCAAATGTTTTTTTTATTTTATTGAAAACAACATTGACAATACTGTGTTCAATTTCACACTAACATTCTCACTTGGAGCAAATAATCTCTCACACAATGTAACACTGTCCATCAATAAAAGGGTGAAAGAAATACTGACGAGGTCCTGATATTGACGAGGGGGCGGAGAATTCGCATCAGCTGTGTGTGTGTGTGTGCTTGGCCATCATCAAGTGGTATTTCAGACTGGACGTGCTGCGATGATGATGGCTCAGTTCACAATGACAAAACACACAGATCACTTTGGTCTTGTCAATGGAACCATTTGGCAACTTTTTAAAAGTAAACTTTCCATTCAGAATCTTATTGGCATCCATTTCGGCGTCTCGCGCTCGTCATCCACTCAAAACGTAACGTTAACCTACTATTTGGCCGGCTCGCAAGCCCAAACGAGTGTGTGCGGCGGCGTGCCTGTTGTTTTGTTTCCGGTCTAGCTAGATCCGCTTGCGCTTTCAAAACGTCCTCGCGTGGCGCGAGCCATTGAAATTAATGGGTTTCACAGCGCAGCGCCGCGCATGATGCCGTGTCCTGTTGCAAAAGCATGTGAAAAAAACTACAAAGTTTGCTAGGCCAAAAAGACCGTTAATCGCACGATAAAAAGATTAACGCCGTTAAAATGGGTTTGCGTTAACGGCGTTAATAACGCGTTTAACTGACAGCCCTATTAATTATATATGGTGTTTCTTTTTTCAGACTCCGACAACAGAGGCAGAGTGGAGAGAGGTGGCAATGGGATTTGAAAACAAATGGCAATTTCCTAATTGCTTAGGAGCCATAGATGGAAAGCACATCTACATCCAGCCACCTGCAAACTCTGGAAGTACTTACCACAACTACATGTCCAAATTTTCTGTTGTACTCATGGCAGTAGTCGACGCAGATTACAGATTTATTAATGCAAATGTTGGCGTACAAGGAAGAGTGTCAGATGGAGGAATATTTGGCCAGTCAGACCTCCGAGCTGCCATGGACAGAGATCTGCTGAATGTCCCACCGCCAGAGCCACTACCAGGGAGTAACATATCTTTGCCCTATGCATTTGTTGGTGATGAAGCTTTCCCTCTCCGAATCGACCTGATGAAGCCATACCCCTTCCGAAATCTGGACCATGGGCAGCGAATATTCAACTACAGGCTATCAAGGGCCAGGCGTACAGTTGAAAACACATTTGGATTTTTGGCCAATAGACTTCCGTGTTTTTCTTTCCAACATTGCACTGGAGCCTGAGAAAGTGACAACAGTTACACTAGCTGCACTCTGTTTGCACAACTTCCTGAGGAAGAAGGCGTCAGATGTGTACCTGCCTTCAGCCTTTGCAGATGTAGAAGATGACCCATCAAGAAGTCCACTCTGTGGCAGCAAGCAGTGCACGGAATGCCACAACCGCCGCCAAAAATCAGAGAGACAATTTAAAGGCATATTTTCTTTCACCTGCTGGATCTGTTTCCTGGCAGGGAAATATGATTTAAACACCAACTGGTAAAATTTTTTCATATTGACCATTTTTGCAAGACGTATAGAACACTCGCTCAGAAAGACTGTTTTTTTTGTACACTATACAAATTAGTACAATATACAACCAACAGAAAGGTTGCAAACTTTAGTAAAATGTTAAGGGATAGTTCTGCCAAAGAATTTATTCTGTCATTAATTACTCACCCTCATGTCGTTCCAAAGCTGTAAAACCTTCATTCATCTTCGGAACACAAATTAAGATACTTTTAAATATCTTAATTTGTGTTCCGAAGATGAACGAAGGGCTTGTGGGTTTGGAACGACATGAGGGTGAGTAATTAATGACAGAATAATTTTTTTGGGTGAATTAACCCTTTAAAGACTTAATTATATATGTGTAATTAAAAAAAATTAGTAGAATCTGTAATGGTTAAAGAAGGTAATATGATTTGTGTTTTAAAAATGCACAAGTTACATTTTCTTTAGTAAAATCTTTTATTGAAATCAAATAACACTTGACTCATTTCATAAGTCGTAAGTTTTTGAACAAAGGGAAAATGACTCGCAAACATTAACCCTTTTAAAATGTGCAAATATTGCAAAACAGCTTAAACAAACAGCATTCAAAGTGCCAACAACAAACAGCATTTAAGACACAATGTGACTGCAGTCTAGCACCATCACACACAATAAAAAGGGATCAATACTTGAATTTACACCCCATTTATTTCCTGGTCATATGCCACTTCTACTGCCCCTGAGGTAGCTCACTGGAGGTGTTACAGAGGGTACATGAATGGATGTATTCTGGTAGGGTTGATTCAAATTTGTGTGTCCCTGCCAAGGTTTGGGGGTGTAAAGGTCGCTGGGGTTCAGGATGTAATGCTAATCTGGCCTCATTTTCATGTGCATCGTATAACATCATAAGGATGTTGCGACGGAGTCTCATCTTGGGCAGTGGGTCTTTAATTAGCTTAATCTCAGTAACTACCTGTTTGCCAAATGTTTGATCAACATCCGTACCGGCATTTACCAGTGTTTCAGATATATTTTTTAAAATGGTTACTTTTTCAACATTTCAAGTTCATCTAATGATTTGTCTCGTAACTTTTGTTTGGGTTTGTAATGTGCTCTTTCAGGAACCTGACGATGCTGGTGGGATGATGAGGCTTCAAGTGAGGTTTGTGGAGTCGATGGTCCAGATGTGTGGTGGGAGGTGGAGGTGGATGACTCGAACACATCCTCCTCTGTCTCCTGATCTTCTCCACCCTCATCTGTGATGCTATGTTCCAAGTCACCCAACTACGATAAAACAAGTTGTATGAAATATCAGGCATAACAAGTAATGGCACAATACATCTTTGGAAGCATATACTATAGAAATCTCACAAATGTATTTAAAAGTTGGAAAGTACTGTAACAACCTTTACCCCAAACTTACATTAGACTGAGACACGCGTTGTACAGCAAAAGGCTGTAGAAACTATTGTAGTCAACAATAGCCGCGTTTCCACTGCCGGGCTAGGGCCGGGCCAGGGCTAACAGCGAGCCGAGCCGAGCCAGTGGCCTCGGGCCTCAAGCACCGGGGCTTGCGTTTCCACTGCCGGGCCAGTAGCCCCGCAGCGCTGCCCTAAACCCCGCCCTTAACACGCCTTTCTGGATCAAATTATTATGAATTATTATGAATTTATTTATTTTTTAAGTTAGGAAGGTAGCATGTATATTAACTCACCGGCCGTGGCTGCAGCCTGCAATAGTGTCCCGATTGTCTCGCGAGTCGCCACTAACAGAGGGACGCAGCACACCGTACATCAAGTCGGTCCATGGAAAATCCCTTCTCTGAGCTCCGCTTTGTTCATTGTGCATTTTAATCGCCTTGTACAATACTGCGCCCGCAACTTTTTTTCTTTTTTTTTTCTGAACTTGAAGCGTTGCTCGCTGAATGCTTAGCTTAGAAAGTTCAGCATCGATGTATTTTATAACGTCCTCATTTCTTCACACGCCGTCAAATTGACGTTGTACCCTTTCTTCTGCCCAAATGCTCAGAAGAGCTTTGGTATCTTCGACAGACCAGTACAGGCGATTCTCCATTTCGAGCAGCGATTATTTTGCGCGATATAAAAAACTGAAATATGCATCTTGCTTCAGATCATTACGTTCCATAACACTGATAAACTCCGCCTTTTACCTTGAGCACGCCTCTAGCCCGAGCTGGCCCGCTTTGGCCCAAGGTATTCGACGGGCCAGAAATCCTGGCCGTTGGCCCCGAGTAAGCCCCGATCAAGCCCCGGAAGTGACAGTGGAAACGCGACTGGCCCTGGCACGCACTAGCACGGCTCGGGCCTGGCCCGGCAGTGGAAACGCGGCTACTGATTTGTTCCGCGGGACTGTGTTTATTCCTCTTGCTTTTTGATGGACACCTGTCCTTTTAATATTGTAACCCAACCACGACGATATAGAGACACGTTTACCACCGCGATAGCGCGATATCGTCAATATCGTTATAATCCCTATGTGTCACAGGCCGGGGCGGTTGACCGGCCCTTCGCGCACTGCCCCTGTAACCCGTACCACCTCGAGGAGCTAGCAGAGAACACCACCAGACCAGACAATCAGATAACAGGTACAAAATTCTTCTTCATTGAATTAAAAGTAAATTCTTCTTCATTGAATTAAAAGTGTTCTTAAAATAAGTATCGCCCAATCGGCTTCTTCCTCTCCTCAGAATCCTGGTCTTCCTCCTCTTCGATCGAGGCGTACACAACTGAGGTAATTACGTGGCTGGGGGTTCCTCTTCAACCTGCACAGTGGCGAATAAGCAAATAACTGGTCCTCTTCAAGACAGATCAGAACATCAAGGGACGAATAGGGTTGGGAATCGTAATAAATTTTTCGGTTCCGGTTCCGATTCCGGTTCCGCCAAACGATTCCGGTTCCGGTTCCCATTCAATAAAAATTATTAAAACAACTAATACAAATAGTAGTACGGGGAAAATACACAATCCTTTTTGTGTTTTATTTCTGATACTTGTCAAATGAGTTTAACAGACTGGTAATGTCAACAAATGCAACATTATTTAGCAATAATTTTTTCTGAAGGAAAATAAAAAATGTTGCATTCTCAAGGATAATTTGGGACCTCTCCTATATCTTATTGTATCTCCAGCAGTGGAATACCCTCTCAGAAGGGGTAGAATATGCTTGAACACACATGTAAGATCCAGACAGGTGAAACATAATATTTTTAAAATCGGTTTGAATGATTGATTCATAAAAACTTCACTTGTTTCCTTACTGGATTAAAGTGCTCTAGCAGTTAATAAACAGAAATGCATGCGTCTTGCGGAAGAACATTGTAGCCGGAGCTACTTCTCTATGTTTATGTCTATGACGCGGGTGAGTCACGCAGGCACTGGGCTACTCCGCAGCAGTGCCGAACCGACCAGTGTAAAGTAGTCTGAGTCTAAACGCTTATTACAGCCTTACCGTAGTGATTCAGGATAAGACAAAAACACGTTTTGAAAAAAGGCATTCATGATGTAATCGCTCATTATACACATTTTGTCAATTCTGAAGCGAATTTTCGTTATTTGAAACGACTTTCAAAAGGTGATTAACTGTTTTGGTTCCTACAGTAGACATCAGTGTTTATTCTCGAACTATAAACTTTTATCTCAGTACTTCTGTGATCATTTGAATATTTTTAACACAGAAATATCGATACTGTGTTGTTGAAAAGACTGAAAGTAAAGCTAGCAGTTTCATGTAGAACTGCTCTCTCTGGGTCAGCGACAGCGCAAACAGATTTGAATGTCCCGGTGTGAAGTTTTTGTCATTTAGGAATAAGATTGCGTGGGTGTTTGAATCGAGATCGTTTAAAGATTAATGGTGCAGCTCTACTGTCTTTATTCTCTCTCTCTGCGTTGATATCTGACGCAAAAAAAAGAAGTAACTTGTTATACGAATAACGCGAGGGACAGTGCATTCATTACAATTTTAATATTCATGTGGTGAGACGTTGCTAATAAAGGATAAGCTCCCAGCACTTCGTCCACACATCGCATCAGAACCGTTTTCGGAACCGAAACTCAGGAATTTCGCACGGTTCCGGTATTTTTGAAAAAAACACTACCGGTTCTGCATAAGAACCGGTTCTCGGTTCCCAACCCTAGGGACGAATGACTCCCGTCTTTAATGGATCAACTCCAGGCCGGACAATGGGAAGTACACCGGTAAAGGCTCCTCTTCCAGGCAGGCCAGGACACCAAGTATCGGCTCCAGGCCGAACAACGGTGAGTGTGCAGGAAATGGCTCCTCTTCCAGGCAGGTCAAGGCAGCGGGAGATGGGTAACTCACGTCTCTAACAGCTCGAGTAATGGCTCCTCTTCTAAGCAGATCAAGGCAGCGGGAGATGACCAGCTTACGTCTCTAGTGGCTCGGTTCCAGACTTGACAATGGTAGGTACACAGGTAATGGCTTCTCTTCAAGACAGGCCAGGACAGCAAGAATCGGCTCCAGGCCGAACAATGGTGAGTGTACAAGTAATGGTTCCTCTTCAAGACAGGCCAAGACAGCGGGGGATGATTAGCTCACGGTGCTATATAAGACACACTCAACAAACACTGGTTAGTAAGACCCAACGCCCCTCGATTTTAGGCGATCCAGCAGGTCAAAGGCACAAACAAAGGCAAGACTTTACTCCCCACACTCGTGTATTCAGCAAAGCACTTCAAACACTTCACATGCAAATATCCAGCACTGCAATCCACACACTCACAGTGAACTAGGGCCTTTGCTCGTATCTCTGACCAGGTTCCTCGTCTTCGATGTAACTATAACTCGGGGACAGGTGCGGGGGCTGAATCCTCGTCC